CCCCACAGCCCAGCAGAGTTTTCAGCGTGGACCCACTATAACATTCCATTGTTTATTTCTCTCTGAAAATAACAGTCAAGATTGAAAGTGTATTTTGATAATTGGTGCACAGACTGATTTATATCTGATCTGACGTAAATCAGGTTTGAAATTCACTGGCAGAAATGTAAGTTTCATAATTACTCCGCTGTGATGATGTGTTCTTGACACATTTATCTCCCAGAGCCTGAAGTCTGTACATGCATGGACACATATGAAATTCCCCACTCATGATGCCTCCTTTCTGGCACTTAGAAAATAGATTTATGAGAGTATCACTGTACAATATATAGTTTTTATTTATAATTTGGATGGTTTAGGGTAGCCAAGAGAAGGCAACCTTTGCATACTAAAATTGTAATTTAGTACTCTCAGAATCTGAACTGGATGTGCAAATGCAAACACTAAAATTAATTAATTTGAAATTACTTGACTGGTTATTTTGATTAACTAATAGATTTATTTGGCATCACACAGATAGTTTTCTGACAGGCTCACATTCGCTGTTTAACCTATATGATATAAGCATTCTGTTCAAGTTACATACCCAGGATGAATCACTAGGCTCTTGAAAGCTATTCCATTAAGCTCTCAGGTTTTATCTTCCTGATTCTTGTGCCACTTGAAGATCCCTATGAATTGCTCCTCAAATCTCCTCCAACACTTCTTGAGTTAAAATGCCACATGAATGATATTATCTCAAAAGAAATTATGAGGCCTTGGGCAAGAATCAAAGGACTCAAGATATAAATGATAGATTTATAATGTCTCAGCCAACAGTAAAGATTTTTAAAGAGAAAAGAAGATCTGGGAGTTGAATGTACAATTAAAAGATGGTAAGGAGAAATGAGTTTTATAAACAGCCCATGGTTTTTACATACTGGGATGAATGATGGGTTCTTGGCAGGGAAGGATTATGACCAGAGTCTAGGTGACTTGATTGAAATCTTTAAGTTAAGAGGAGAGGGAGGCCATTACTTTGATAAACCTATGAAAGTAGTTGCTATGAAGGACAATAAGGTGAGACTATGAATTAGAGTAGGGTGATGCCTAATGATTTGCTCCAAAAATATTGAAAGGGAGATAGAGATGGAAAAATACTAATAGCCTCAAAGTATTTATACTCATTATACCGTCATTGATTGAGCAATTACTGTCTATGCATCTTTTTAATCTTAGGGACAACCCTATAAAGTAGGTGCTAGCTGCTTCCATTTTGACAGGTGGAGAAAATGAGGCTTATAGAAGTTAGTAACTTGCTCAAGGACATGCACAGCTGGTAAGTAGGAATGCAAGGATTTGGGCATGAGCAATCTGGTCCAGAGCCACATTGCACCAACTGTCTCTGAGCGTGCATTATAAACAAAGTCAGCTTAAGATTATACATAATGCGATTTGGGGCATGATGGAAGAGATTCCAGATTAGAACATGGTGGTAGGTTGGCATGGTGGCTCCACACCGTAATTCTAGCTCTCTGAGGCCAAGGCAGGAGGATTGCTCAAGGTCAGGAGTTTGAAGCCAGCCTGAGCAAGACGGGACCCCATCTCTACATATAAATAGAAAGAAATAATTGGCCAACTAATATATATAGAAAAATTAGCCGGCATGGTGGTGCATGCCTATAGTCACGGCACTCACTCTAGCCTGGGCAACAAAGCGAGACTCTGTCTCAAAAAAAAAAAAAATGGTGGGAGAGGAGCATACCATAGTCCCAAAGAATAGGCCTATAAGAAGGGGAGACTGAATGGTACCATATGCCAAGAGGGTAGCCACACACGTAACTTGAGAATGGAAACAATGGGGAGAGTGAGTTAGAGAAACAAGGACTGCTTTGGGACTCTGCTCTAGGCCACCTGGTTGGAAGGAGAAAATTCATCACACATTTCTGACAGATGACAAAACCAGTATAGAAGATACAGAATTGCTAATTGAATATACATTATATAGAGTGGTGATGAGAAACTTCAACTATTGAACATTTGCTAGAAAGTGTGGTGGATATACTCTTGACTTATCTATCAGAAGAAAGTGGAAGTTGATTCCTAGATGCTATTAGTATCTAGGAATGAAAAAATTGTACAATCAAGCACGTGCCGTAGACTTTAGGAAGGTGGAATTTTTAAAAGTCTGAGGAAGATAGTTTTGGTTCTCCTTTCCAAGAGGAGGTGTCTGGAAAGGGCTGACATATGATTCTAGCTGCAATCAATAATATATGGTTCTAACAGGGAAGAACCATGTGTTTTCTCAAGAAGCTATAAGGAGAGTGCACCAGTTATTAAGCTATTACCTCTCAACTCCAGGCCCACCCTTCTACCTTCTGCTTTGGGATGCTGAGGCCAGGAATGTGCATAGAACATTTCTGCTTTGCCAACAGGGGGCCCCTGGTAAGCTCCCTGTAAGCTCTGCCAACAGGGGGCCCCAAAGGGAGATCCCAAGGCTGGATGGAGGAAGGGAAGGGGTTCCTTGTTCCCATCTGCAAGCAGGTCTTGAGGTCATCCCAGCAACAGCAGTTCCTTCCTGATACTGAAACAGCAACTTGTATCTTCAACTTTGCAGTTTTTTGAATACTTATCATCTCAACCCTCCACCCAGTGCCCCAAGACAGAGATGGTCCTTGCTCCCTCCTGGGAAATCTGGGTGTCACTGGGCCTCTCCTTCAAGTTCAGAGACACCCAGGCCAGCAGCTCTGTGGGATCCCTCCCTTCAGTTTCTAAATTTTAAAAACACCTACCTCTTCCTTTGTTCTTTCAACCCTAGGGGTGGTAGCTGCTTCCTGTTGTTGCCTCTTTCATGATACCTTAGAGTTCTCCTTTTATCCTTTTAGTTACCTTGTTAATAGCTCTATACCTTATCAACAATTTTGTTTATGTACATATATATAAACAAACTATGTATAATATAAATATATAACATAAAAAACAAAGAATATGTATAATATAAATAAAATATATATACATATTTCTTTCTGTTTAAATAACTAGTAGGGGTTTTGTCTCTTGGATAGACCCCTCACTACCCAGAAAACACTGGGAATGCTAAAGCCCTAAATAAGTAGAAAATAATTTTAAAAATATCCCGAGGGCAAAAAATGGGGTTTTTTAAAGGAATTTCCTGAACGAGAAGATCAAGGAATGACCGGATGTTTGAGAGGATGGTAAAGTGGTTTCATTTCATTGGAGGATTTGACACCTCGGCCAGATCATCAATGGGTAAAAACATGGCGGAGGAACTCACAGATGGGCGAGGTGCTCAACCAGATGACTGCTAGGTCTCAAGATTCTCTGTTCTTTGAACTCCTTGTTCCCAGGGTTCTGAGAGACAGTACGTACCATGACCCAAGATCTCCCACAGCTCTCACACCATCAGAACACTTGCCTTGGGATTTCTGAGAGGGCCTTTCTCTATTTCTTTCTCATACTTCTTTAGTTTCAGAGGTCTGGGCCTATTGCTTCCCTTCTAAAGGGCTTCCCTTTACTGTGAACTGCATTCCCTAAAGAGGTCTGGGAGCCTGCTCTTTCCTGAGATTAAGATTCTCTTTTTTTCTATTGCTGAGAAATCTATGTCTGCTCTTTAAATTAAATACAGAAATATAGCCCACCCTTGCACCTCTGGCACTTTGGAAATCTGTGTATTTTCCTTGGCATCACTGGACTTTTTTGCTATTCTCTGGAACTTTGTAAAGCCCTCTCTAGGGTTGGCTAAACAGAACTCCACAATCTTAGAGTGACCACCTGGGACCCTGGCTCCAGGTGTACCTTGGCCTTCTGCATGGAAATCCTCTGAGGCTGGATCCATTCCACATCTACCCTTCACCTCACCCTTCTGGCCTTGCCCCTGAGGATCCCATTCCTCTTTCTGTACCCTGAGTCACTTCTACCTTTGGTTCCAGTGTTGACAAGTATTTGTATTTGTGAGGATGAACAAATAAGTCTCTTTTCTCTTTTCCTTTCTTGGACCTCATCAAACTAATCTCCAGTCCTTCAAATATTATTTCTTGCCAGATTCTTCCCTCCCCAAAAGTCCAAAGTGGGGTTCCTCACTCCATTCAAGCTGCTATAACAAAATACCACAAACTGAGTGGCTTATACACAACAAAAGTTTAGGAGGCTGGGAAGCCTCCTTGGACTTCCCAGCCTCCCAGTTCTGGAGGCTGGGAAGTCCAAGATCAGGGCAGATTCCATTTCTACAGAGGTTCTGTTTTCTGGCTTACAGACAGTGCCTTCCTGCTGTGTCCTCACATGGTGGAGGGGTGAGGGGTCTCTCTCCAGACTTTTTTGGAAGGACACTAATCCCATTCTGAAGGCTCAGCCTTCATGACCTAAACACTTCTGAAAGATACTACCTTCTAATAGCTTAGGGGTTAAAATTTTAACACTTAAATTTTGGGAGAAAAATAAACATTCAGATCATAACACTGGGGAGCATTCAAATGACAGAACCTAAGCTCTGAGCCCTGAAGATGCTATTGGTAAAGATTCCAGTTTCCCTCTTTCCACTGACTTCTCCATAGATTTTCTCCAGTCATCATGAACTGATACAAATTGCTTCATCAAACCCACACAATTGTGATAGATAACGCCCTACCTCACAAACTGAGAAATAAATACCCTCACCGCAACAAAAAGGTTTCCAAATCTTCCAAAACTCTTGGATGCAGAGCAAAAAGAACAAGAGTTGCTTACTATTAAGACCACATCACACACACATTACATAGAATTATATAGAACAATCGAGAGATGAGAGCACAACTTCTGGGACACTGAAAGACGACAGAGTGTGTTTCAAGTAGCTATTTCTATAGGATGGCAAAATGACACCTCCTCCCCTGCTTTTCCTAACGTAACCAGGGAACATTTACCAGAGAAGATAGGTCCAAGGGGTGAGAGCTGAGTGGCAATTGCTCATTGGAATTTAAGTTAAATTCACCTCTATAGCAGATGTTTTGATTTAAAATAGTTACCTTTTGTTCGGCTTAACTCTCAGCTCCCACATCTTTCTGCTTTCAATTCTTCAAGGAAGCACCCCTGAGTACAGTGTGAGGGAGGCAGTTTAATCCAGAATTCTTGAAAACAGCTTGATATTTTCAACTAAATCCAGTAGCGGAATGCAGGCTTAACTGGCCCCACCCAATTTCTCCCACCCAGATATATTTCCTTTTTGTCCAGCACAGTTTCAACTGTTCCAAAGAAAGAAAAAAGAAAAAGAAAAATGTTTGCTTAAACCATTAAACTCTAAACTACTCTGTCAATTCCGACCAAATTTAAGATACTTGGTACTAGGTTGTGATGGAGAAAATAAGGGAGATTTTTATTTGACTCATTTAAAAAAAATGAGAGGTTTAACTTTCCTTTATCCTCTCTAGTAAGAACAGCTTACTGCTGTGCAGTAGATTGGGCTTTGGATGCATTTATTTTATTAACTAAACACACACTTACTGTGTGCCTATAAAGTACAAGGAACTGTGCTAAAAATAACGTAGAGGTACACAGTGAAATACATTCCAAATATTGGCTACAGTAAGAAGCTTACAACTCAGTAGAAGAGCTAAGTAGAAGAGAGAAGATGTGAACATACCTGGCTATGTCACATGGTATGTTAAGTTCCAGAAAAGGATAGAAGAAAAGTTCTGTGGGAACAGAGAAAGGTGGGTCACTTCATTTCTCCAGGAAAGACTGCCTGGAGGAGAAGGCATTTCAACTCCCCTTTCAAGAGCAAAGGGGCCTTCCAAGGCTCTTCAAAGAAGGCTTTGAAGCCTTCCTTGACTACAGGCTTAGTTCCTTCCAAGGAACTAAGCCTGTAGTCAAGGAACAGTGAGGTTTCTTTAGGGAATGACTTGTAGATGATATCGTAGAGACCCAGCAGAATCAGAGATGATGACTGGTGAAGAATCTTGTTCTAATAATCTTACTTTGATTTTGCTTGGTTGGAGACTAATTCAGGCAATGTCTACATATATTGGTGAACCTCCTGTGCTTGCAACATGTCCAAGATATCATACATTATATTCTGAAATCAATCTTGCTTGCTCTCTTTCTTTCTCCCCCATCCCTCTCTCATTCTTTCTCTTCCTTTTTTTTTCTCTCTCTCTCTCTGATACACACACACATATGAATATTTCTTGATAGAAAAGAATAAAATAAATACTTAATACCAACTCTAAAGAGTTAGGGCTTCTGGCTTTCTCCGTTAAATAACTGACCTGCTTTTGAAGCTGTATACTAAGTCCCATTGGAGGTGGCCCCTGGTTTTGCTTCCTGGGAATGAAGGTAAAAGATTTCAGGACTGAGAGAGCAGGCGTAAATACTTCCTCAGCAACTTTCCTTTCCCTAGAAAAGTCACAGTTCTAACACCAACTATTGTCTGCTTTAATAAAAATATTTCTCATTACTGTAAGTTTCTTTTTTTCATTACTGAAAGTTTCAATCAACTGCTATTAGAAAAAGTTTCCCACTGGCCAAGGGCTTAAGCATGGAGCCTTGTCCTTGCATCTTCTCTCCTTGACCTTCCCCTCAGCAAGGGCTGCTGCAGGAAAAGAGGGGTCCACTGTGTTCTCGGCCTTAACACAACCCATTTATTTTAAAAATGATAGCCAACAACTGATTTTGTTGAATTTATCAGAGGACTTCAGTGAGGAAAGAAACCAACTGCTGGAAGATCATATAAAAATAAACCTCAGCTTTATAGATGTTAATTCTTCTGCCCAGGGGAACAAGTGGTTTCTGCCATGCTATTTGCAAATAAACTAGATTTAAGTCCTACATTTGTGAGAAAATCCATGAATAAAGTCATGCAAATCTCAAATGTGAATTCAACAAAAAGTGAACAGAAACTGAACTACAGCACTGTCACAGATTGTATTAGGATGCAGATATTTTAATAACCATCGAAACTTTTCTGATCAGTTCCAAGCTAATATTTTCTAGTACATGCCACTTGTTGCTTGTTCATTGACAAAAAACGCTGAATTGAGTCATTGTACAAACAGAGAACATCTCCATTTGGAAAGGAGTGGCCGACAAAACAGCAAGATCACTTTACCCAGCATCAGAGAGAAGAAGCTAAGCATTTGCTGAGCTCTCAGAGAAGGAAATTAACTCCAATCCCTACCCTCTAAGATTTGCTCAGGATTGTGAAGAGCTGAAAAACTTCAAAGTAATAAGAAAACTGAGGCTCAATTTTAGAAATATGAAGCATTTGGAGTAACTAATTTGGCCAAATATTTATGTTTTGGTGCATAGTTGAACTGCTTATCAGACCTTCAGGAATTCTTTGTTTTTCATTTTTGTGCTTTTATTTCCTCTCCTATCTTCTCCTCCCCTTGCTGGAAGCAAAACACCCTCTGGCAATAAAAGTTGAAGATGCTTCTCATGGAGGAACCAAGCCAAGGCCAAGGGGGCTGAGCCCTGAGCCCCTGCCAACTGCACTCAAAGCCATAATCTTCCCCTCCCCCTAGCCCTCTTCTGAGAAGTGCTGGGAAATGTAGAAGTCCCTAAGGCCTCCCCAGGAGAGAAGCAAAAATCTTTTCCCCATGAGCCTAACAGCCCTTCTGGAAAGATCTTATATTGACTTTAATAGACTGCTGTAAAGGGCTGGCCTTTGTGTCGTCACAAACCCAGGCAGAGAGGTAGGGAGGGAGACTTCCCAAGGGCTTCCAGAGCTGGAAGACCCATATTTTTCCTCTCTTTCCAGTGCCAACACTCATGATCCTTCACTGTGACCTTTCTACAGCCCTAACCTTAAAGAAATCATCTCTCTGCTTGGAGAGATGATACCCATTTATAAGAAGAGTAAGCGACAACTGCTTCTAGCTTTCACTGGAGACAAGGCATTTGGACAGCCTCTGTTGGAAATTGTGCTGAGATGGTGGATGTTTGTAAGAAGGGAAGAGGAATCACTATTTCTCCTTTAATCTCCACGTTGACCTCTGCTCTCAGGATGGCCTGCAATGACAAGGTCTGCATTTCCTATTAGTTTCTTCACCTTACATACAGCCCTGGGGACTGCTGGACCACACCAGAGATCCTACGTGGGTGCCAACCAGCCCCTGCTAGCAGAGCCCTACTGCTCCCAGGCTCCATAGCCCACAGGGATTTGAGCACATTCCAAGACATTCCGCAGCTGGGAGGCTGGGAGCCTGGAATGTCTGGAGCCCACAGAGGGAAGGTGTTCTAGCATGCTCCCCCCATCTCAACCACATTTCCCCGAAGATCTCAAATCACTTCGCAAGGGTGATCTAATAGATGTTTATTTCTACTTTCATCCCTACTGTTAGGTATGACCTTCTTTTACATGAATGTCACTTTGAGTTTTTTCACATAGCCTCTCTCATGGTAAAAATATCACATTGGGAACCAAGAGCTCAATTACTACTCAGCTACTAATTAGATATCATTTAAACTCCTTTCCAGCACACAGACCTTTGACATTTAACAATGAGGCAGCAAGGAAATGACTGTTTCGATTGCACCCTTTGAAAGAGAAGTAAGTAATGTGGGGCCTAGCCATAAATCACAAGTATGTGTATATATTTGTGTGTGCATGGGAATCAATATCTCATAGTGCCAATGCTAATGCAGTCTTCAGGACTTCCATTTCCTTATCTGTGAAATGGAGATAACAACAAAGTTCTTGTGATCTTGCTGTAGTGCCTGGAACATAATAGGCAGTTAATAAATGTTTGCTGAATTAATATATGGGTGGATGAATAAATATACACTTTCTGGGCTTGTTTCATCATCTCTAAACTTGCCATGTTTAATTCAAAAGGCAATTTGGAGGATTAAAGGACATCAAGATTCTTAAAATTGCTTTCAAAAGTGAATAACTATAAAAATATCAGATTATTATTAATGTTATTATTATTATTATTATTTTTCTCAGAGACAGAGACTTGCCCTGTTGCCTGGGCTAGAGTGCTGTGGTGTCAGCCTAGCTCACAGCAACCTCAAACTCCTGGGCTCAAGCGATCCTCCTGCCTCAGCCTCCAGAGTAGCTGGGACTACAGGCATGTGCCACCATACTTGGCTAATTTTTTCTTTTCTTTTCTTTTCTTTTCTTTTCTTTTCTTTTCTTTTCTTTTCTTTTCTTTTCTTTTCTTTTCTTTTCTTATTTAGTAGAGACAGTGTCTTGCTCTTCCTCAGGCTGCTCTTGAACTCATAATCTCAAGTGATCCTCCCACCTTGTCCTGCCAAAGTGCTAGGATTACAGACGTGGCCACCATATCCAACCTGGATTATTATTAGTTATGTGACTACTAGTATAGGTGCCAGATGTGTCAAAACCTCATGTGTACACATCTCTTCTTATATACAAAGGGCACTAGACAAGCTCCCTATGCTATATGGGGAGTAGCTCTGCCCCTCTGTGGTTCTTTCTATAACTTGGTTTCTATGTGCTACTTGCTCCGCCCCCATTACAAGTGTTGAATTTGAATTGAATGCTTGAGATCGGAGAGTTTCAGAACTTGATTAGACTAATAGCCTAAGGGTTAAGAGTTCCAGTCCTTGAGTCAAATTGCCTGATTTTTGTGTCCTGACTCCACAGTTTACGAAGGTATTTAACCTGACTATGCCTTAATTTATTCATAAAATGGGGACACTAATAGAATCCACAGGATTGCTGTGAAGGTTGAATAAGGTATAGACGTAAAGCATTTAAAGAAGTGCCTTGCACATGATAAGAACCAAATAAATGCTACCTCTAACCATTGTTGGTGTGGTATTATTATTATCATTATTATTATCACTTTGCTAATGGAGCTTGCAGTCTAGCAGAGAAGACAGACCATAGGAGAAAGCTGGAGGAGCAGCACAGCACTGAAAAGGTTACGAGCAGTATGCTTTGGATGCAGAAGCAAGAGACATCTTTATTCCCAATCCTCATCAACTCCTCTGTGTAGTCTCTAGTTTGTCACTGTTCCAACATACACAGAACTTAAAAATAATACCCTAGATTCCATCTGAGGAGCACAGCGCCTAATGCTTCTCACGGTCCTCACACAATGCTTCCATTAATGCAGTCTAAGTGTGTGGAGCCATAACACACTGTTGGCTCAAATTGAGTTCTGGGTCCAATAAGACCCCCAG